CATCCCACTTTTATAGGCATTTCAAGTCTTTGTTCAGCATTGAGGTTTTTCCATGCTCAGTTTTTAATTAAAGGTTGTTTCTTCTTGTTATCTCAACTTGAGGTCATCCCAGTAAAGCTGGTGATCTCTGCTGAAGCATTGTGTCCTTGATCTCTGTCTTGAAGCATTGTGTAGTTCAAATGGCAGGATAAGCAAAATTCATTCTTCTTTGAAACGGATCACAGATGAGTTCTTCAGCAATTCATTAATTAGTTTACTGTCTGGTAACCTATATATTGATGCCTTGTTGCTTACACAATCAATTAAATCTTCTGTTTTCATGCAAATAGTTACCATTCTTTCATCATTCATCCTCTCACACAGACACTCACATACACAAGGCATATGAAGTTCATCTACTCATGTCAAGGAGGGAATGAGCACAAAAGGGAGTTTTGGTTCTTCGTACAATCATAGAGGTTGATCAATTCAATACTATTATCATTTAAACATAATAAATAAAGCAAAAATGCATACTACAGCAGCCTTGGCTTTCCTGGTTTGCTCTCTACAGGTCCAGACCACTGCAGAGTATTCCTCCATTGGGGTAGATCCAACCTTCCATCCTTTATAGGTCTTTCTTTTTAGATGCAGGAGGTCCACTGCAGAGCCAAGGGGGCTGCTGTGCCCTTTTGCTGCCTTTCCCCCAAGACAGATGAGACATTGCTTGAGCTTCCAGGATTACTCCTTTGAGGAGCAACCACTCTTCCTGAACTCCCCTCCCCTTTGGGCTGTGGTCCCTTAGGGAATCGCCAACAAGCCTCCTGAGCTTGTCAAAGTCAGCTTTTTTTGAAGTCAGGGACTTCTGCTTTGCTGACTGACTTGCCAGCTTTACAGCAGATAGTGAAGGTGATAGGTGAAATGTATAGAAATAAATATAAATGTATTTGCCTACCTATATAAAATTAAATTCTATAGTACTCCTATCCAATATAATTATAGAATTCAAATGAATGAATGAATGAATATAATACTAAAATAAAAGAGCCTTGAAGAAAAAGGTATTCATTCTGAATCTGAAATCCCTCTTGCTAGCAAGTAGGGAATCCTTTAGAAGATCAGTGCTGCTAGCCATAGTTGTCTGATGCTGAGCTGCTAGAATGCAGCTCACTCAGCTGACACCGAGGCAGAAAGCAGGGCAGTTCAAACAATGCTGCCTTTTATGCAGTTTTTCCATCCCTCCCCCAGAGCACTGGGATTGGAAGGGACCTCAGAGAAGAATGACAGTCACTGGCCAACTACGCAGTCAATAATGAGAGAACTCCTTCCCCCACCTCTTCCCCCTCCCTCTCCTTATTTTAGTTTCTGTTTCCCAACAGGCAAGCGCAGCTTGAGCTTCAAAACTTGTAAAGTTTCGAAGTTTTCAAAATGTTTCGACTTGCCTTGTTTCTTTTTGAGGCTGTTTTGAAGCTCTCTGTTTTGTTTCACTTTTGCTGTTTCAAGCTCGAAATGAGTCGAAACAGCATCAAAATGAAACTGCTGGCGAAATTTCACACATCTCTACTAAATAGCTGTTCGTGAACACAGTCTGCTTTCTAGGGGGAAAATAGGTGTCCTTGAAAACTTCTCCTCTGAAAATATCCAAACTTTATTCTAAAATATTAAATTCATATTTTTTTGAAAGGGTGAATTTTTTTCCAAGGGAAACTGGTCATATTTTAGTTCTATGGGTTTTTTTGGTGGTGGTTTGTTGGTTTTTTGTTTTGTTTTGTTTTGTTTTTTGTTTTTTTGCCCAGGTTCCAGTCTAACTCAAATACAGTAACTACATTTTGCCTGCTCAAATTTCCTTCTGCCACTGAAAAAGTAAGTTGAATTTTTTTCAATTTTTGATATTACCATGTGTAATTAAATAGCTACCTTATTTAACTGCAGATGTCAATGGGGAGTGAAATGATCCTGATGAGTTATTTTCTATCATACACCATATAACTAAGTGATTTGAGGCAATTACTGGTGAAAATTAATTATCATTCCTATTAAAACTGTTGCTCCTAGCAGGAAGAATCTAAACACTAAAGCTAGACTATTATTTTTTTATTGTTGAGTTCAGGGTTTGAATTATGGGTGAGCTCAGTGGGAGGGGGGGAGCCGAGTCCCTGCCTGTAAGATTTGAAAATCATAACCTGGGAGGCTCTCCAATTTTATTAGGACATTGTGATGGGCAGCCCAATTTTTTTTGTAGACCCCCTGAAGAGTCAAAGTGTAATTTGAACCCTGGTTGAGTTTCAATATATTTGTTACCACCTTATACTTTCTTCTGCATTTTGGGGATATAATACAGTTGTACCGTCTTTTTTCATAAGTAAGAAAAATACCATGCATTTAGAAATGGAAGTGCACTCTTTCGTTTTATTGACTGGACTATGTGAAAACAAATGTGCAGCTTAGCATTTCTCAAAAGTACTCTAATCATCATTTTCCAGCTTGGGCGCATACATCTAGATTCTAAAATTCGTATTTAGGCTCTAAAATAAAAGTTTTTCTGATTGTTGAGGGTGCTCAGCTCTTCTGAAAAATCTCATTTAGTCTTTCTTTTCCCTTTAGTTTCCTTTACTACTCTTCTAAACATAGTACTGTAGAACATCTTAGTACCGTTTCACAGCATGTGACTAACATCTGTCACATGTGGTTCATTATCCCTCTTCATCAATTTTCTCAGAAGATGACTTGTGGGGCATGTGAATACATGTGTTCTGTGTTGCTCCAAGTATTTATATGTAAATGTTTCTCCATACTTATTTCAGAGAAGGTAAGTCAAAGAGGTATCTTTTTCATTTGAAACAGAAGATAGTAGCTTAATGATGCTCCTTATTTCCTTGAGAGGTCAAAGATTACAGAATGAATAGATTCTAAGGCACCTCTACATGTGCAGGTACAGGCATGTTAAAATCTAATGCACAATCCACACAATTGTGCTTTCTACCATGTACATGGTAGGAGGCATGATTGTGAGATTGTACATTAGATCCTATTGTACCTTACTGCCGGTACAGGGGGAGCCTGATCCTGGGTTCCCCTGAACTGGCAAGAAGCTGGCTCCTGTGCCTGGGAGACCCTCTGCTGACAGGGCTCCCAGCGGTGAGAGCACCACATGCACCCCTGCTTCTGGGGAAACTGCAGCCAGTGCAATCCACACACCACTGTGGATTTGTCCCATTGCTGGGACACCACAGTTGTTGTGATCTCCCAGCCTCTGGGTACCCCACACACCCTAGGGCAGGGAGTTCACAGCAGCACCCTGCTGCTGCCAGGATCCATAGTTTTATATAGCTGCAGATTCTGGGTCTTGGCATCTGTGGGCTGCTACTGGGACCCAGTGTCCATGCTAGGCACAGTGGGGGCTAAGAGTCCTGCAGCTGAGCGGACTCTCTGTCCTGGCCCTCAGCTGCAGGGACTCTGGGTTCTGGCTGTGTGGGGTATGGTCAGGGCTTTGAGTCGTGTCAGATGTGGAGACACTTGGTCCTAGCTGTGCTTGGGGCACCCCATGGCTGGGAGATTGCAGTGGCTGTGATCTCTCAGCCATGGGGGGCTGCCTACCCATGCAAATTTACATAGTTTTGAGAAATAACTTTATAACTGGTTGGACTTTTTAAGGTGGCATAGCTAATTTGCACATGTAGCTAGTCTAAATTTATTGTGAAGTCAACCAGGTAATTGTGTAATAGATATACTGTGTAGAAGGGGCCTAAGAAAGCCTTCTTTCCTGCAAACCTTTGCAATAAAAAGCCCATGCTTAAGGAGTGAAGGCTTTTCCATACAGGTTTCTGTCGCTTTATGTGGTGTATGCGTTTCTGGAAAACTGTGCATAACTTGAATTCACATAAAGGGAGCCCAGTTCACAAGGTAACAAGTAGGAATACAGTCACATAGTGGGGTGGGAGGAAGGGAGTGGGGCTGGGGCTGAGGCTAGGGAAGGAGCAGGGGGAGGGGCATGGCACAGCCCAGTGGCTGCAGACAAGTGGCATTGGCCACTCCTGGGGCTGCAGCAGGATGTAAAGCGGAGGGAACTGAGAGTGGGTGCAGAGCGCAAGATTGGGGGGGGCTGGGCTCTTGTTGTTATGTATACCCTGGGAGGGAGCTAGTTGTTATGTACACCCTGCGTGTCCCTGGATCTGCACATGGGACCAGAGCAGGCTGCTACTGCGGACTGGGGCTGGCAGTGGCACTGGGCTCTTCCCAGTGGTGGCCTGGGCTGTGCTGTGCTCATGGCGGGTGGTGGTGGCGCTGGGAGGGGAGGTTGGGGGGTACGGTGAATTTTAAGGTGGCTGCAGGCCCCTTCCCAGTGCTGTTGCCACCCACCCAGAGCACAGTGTGACCCAGCAACCCCCACACTGCTAGGAAGAACCCGGTGCCACCACCAGCTCCAGCCCTCAGTGGCAGCCTGCCCTCATCCTGTGTGCAGATCTGGGGGCACACCCCCCACCCCCCCAGGAAGAGCCTGGTGTAGACCTCCCAGCCTGAAGCCCTCCTGGGATCAGTGTAGCAGAAAGAGCTGTGCCCCCCATCCCGCATCCACTGACAGTTCCTTCTGCTTTACTCCCTGCTGAAGCCCTGGGAGCAGCCGATGCCTGCAGCTGCTGGGCTGTGCCACGCACCTCCCTGCAGATGCCATCAGCACTGGGGGCGGAGCTGGTGAGCACCTGCAGACACCTGCTTGATGTGCTGGGCCCTGTCAGGTGGGGGGAAGGGCATGTAGCGCAGACACTGGCGGGGGGGGGGGGGGGCCCTGATGGGGGGGCATGTGCCCCGCCCCCATGCTCACCCTACCAGTTGCCTATGTTCTATAATGTATCTTTCTATATCTACCTGAGTATTGCATTGGGAGACTTCAAACTTCGAAGGGGTACATCTGTTTTAAGTATGATTCTAAATATTGACTCTGCAGTCTTTGGGATGTTTCTGTTTGGCAAACTCGTTTTGGCCCAAAAGAATTTGTGACAGCCTGGTAATATTCTTTTTAGATATATCACTGAGGTTATCCATGGTAAGACAAAAGACTGGACTTCATGATCATCACCTTCAAGGAGAACTGAGAGGACGACTACGGCTCCTGGAAAATGACAGCAGGGAGGTCATGGCAACTTTTAGTGTAAGTCATTTCTATTATATTTATGAAAGTGTTTTGGATATTTTTGGTAACAAGCTGAAGAGGCCAAAAGCTCCACAGGTGGGCACTGTGACAAATTACATGGTCTGCAGATCTTTGCAGAGGAGAACCTATAGCATGTTTAACAGTAGGCTGTTCAAATTTACATGTTGACATAGACCACATCTTCAATCTACCTTCAAATATAAATTAAGATGCCAGTGCTCCTTTCCCTTACTTGGCAGAGAGCAGAAGTGGGTATAGCTGGGTTTAGATAAATGAAGGCATGAACAATTGGTCCATGTCATAGATCTCCCATTGTTTCCCCTATCATTCAAGAGTTCTGACTCCCACAACTGGATCTTCTGGACTGTTTTATGCAAGAACAATGATGACTTGTGTCTGTTAAACACAGGAGTAACAGAAGTACCCTTGCCTGACTTATATATGAAGTTCTAATTTGACAAACACACACAACTCTTAGCAGAAATTAAAACAAGAAAAATATACCTATTGTAGGGGAGGTCCTATACCAATTCTAGAGCATTGTTCAATTCAATAAGAGGTGAATATGTGAAAAATTTGAGGTACTTACGTTAAAAGTATAACAGGGCTTGAAATGCTTTTCATCCTGGAACTATGTGCACTGCAAATAATGGATGATGAATATTTAGATGTAAATTCTCTGTATATGTGGCTTGACTTTGGTGAAAAAAAATCTTGAGGAAATGGTAACTTATTTTAATGAAAATAGCATTTACTGAAGAAACCATCAAGAAGAAAAGGAATGTGAAAACAGGAAATTTTCAACTTTAATAATTTAAGCAGCTGTGCTACTAATGTTTCATAGATTTCATAGACATTAGGGCTGGAAGGGACCTCGGAAGATCATCGAGTCCAGCCCCCTGCCCAAAGGTCAGGAAGTCAGCTGGGGTTGTAGGATCCCAGCAAGATGAGCATCCAGTTTGCTCTTGAAGGTGTTCAATGAAGGCGCTTGAACCACCTCCAGTGGCAGGCTGTTCCAGACCTTGGGGGCTTGAACAGTAAAGAAATTCTTCCTTATGTCCAGCCTGAAACGGTCTTGTAGTAGTTTATGACCGTTCGACCTAGTCGTCATCCCTAGGGGCGCTCTGGTGAATAAACGTTCCCCCAGATACTGGTGGTCACCCCTGATAAACTTATAGGTGGCCATCAGATCACCCCTGAGCCTGCGCTTTTCCAGGCTAAAGAGCCCCAGGGCTCTCAGCCTGTCATCGTAGGGTCTGCTTCCCTGACCTCTGATCATGCGCGTGGCTCTTCTCTGGACTCTCTCAGGCTTCTCCACATCCTTTTTGAATTGTGGAGCCCAAAACTGGATGCAGTACTCCAGCTGCTTGCCTCACCAAGGCCGAGTACAAGGGGAGAATGACATCCTGGGATTTACTTGAGAAGCATCTATGGATGCAAGCCAGCGTTTTGGTCGCTTTGCTAGCCGCCGCATCGCATTGCAGGCTCATGTTCATCTTGTGGTCAATGATGACCCCCAAGTCTCTTTCTTCCATAGTGCTAGCCAACATAGCATTGCCAAGCCTATAAGGATGCTGCGGGTTTTTCTTCCCAAGGTGGAGAACCTTGCATTTATCGGTGTTGAACACCATCAGATTCTCGTCTGCCCACTTGCTGAGCCTGTCCAGGTCAGCCTGGATCACCCGCCTGTCTTCTGGTGTGGATGCTTTGCCCCAAAGTTTGGTGTCATCGGCGAACTTGGCCAGTCTGCTTCTGACTCTAGTGTCCACATCATTAATGAAGTGTTGAACAGTATGGGTCCAAGGACAGAGCCTTGGGGGACATGTGTATTTCTGAATCTCAGTAAAAATCAAGACTGAAATTGTTGCACACTCTTGCCACACCTATGTTGGATATATCCAACTGGAGAAAATAGGCCACAATATTTGAGAAATTAAGATGAATTACTAATGTGAGTGACTCTTAATATGTTGCATTAAGGTAATGTTGGATACCAATAAAGAAGTGGGGGGATAGTACAGGTAATCACTAGAACAATTAAACTAATGTGTTAATTGGCTTTTATGCCCATTTGAAACTATTGTTAATCAACAAATTTGTCTGGAACATCTGCTCCTAAGCAAAAGGTGATGTTTTCTCACAGCAAGTTAGTTGTAATTTTACATTACACATTGGAGAATAGACTTATTTTTGTTTTGTGGCTCAGATGGGTTCTGACTGACACCATGGCTCTAAACACTCCCAAGCAATAGGACTCATCAGATATGCAATAGTGAGAGTTTCAAAATTTATTTTAATCATCATCATTGCATTGTGCTCATCTGTCATCTCCAAGATTATTTCATCTTCTGTTGCCTCCTTTGCCTGGTTTATGTTCGTTTTCTTTTTGTATTGTGAATATCCCATCCCTTCTCACTAACAAGCCAAACAATGCAATCTTAGCTACCATTCCTTCAGTTAATAGTATTGAGTTATCATATTTCATGTGTAAGATCTGTCATCACCAGACTGGCTGCCATTGTTATTTCCACACACATTGTAAACTATATTTTTCAGTGTGTTTGTTTTTCTGTGCAGTTAGTGTGGTGGTGGGGGGAGTGTGGCAGCATACAAATCGTCTAATTTTAAGGCTGTGTTAATTTTAAAAAGCAGGTCTAAGAAAAGACCTTCCAGAAAAGCAGGATTTATGGCAAGTTGACTTACAAAACTGTGAATTTGTTTTGATCTTGAACAGTGCAGAGTGCAGCCTTCAGGGCATCGTCTCAGCAGGTTTTGGTAATTTTTATTAATAGAATTCAAGGACTGCAAAAAACTTACTGTTCTTTTATTAATATTTGAGCAGGTGTTGGGAAGTGAATTCACGAGATCAAAGCACTGATGAGAGGTGTCTCCTAGGAGCATGAGGCTTTTATTTTTTGAAGAGCAAGCTGTATATGTTGTGTAAAAATTAAAGATAAAAGAATACATGGAAAGTGATGAAATAGTCCAAAGATTTTTAAAATTAATTTTAAAAGGATTATTTTCAAGAAAAATGGTAATTCTATGTGGTTTAATTTTATAGACATAAGTGATGGTTTCAGTGATGGTTTCCTATAAAATTTGTAATTTAAATTTCTTAATCTTCAGTCCTTAAATGTAACATTTTTATTCCATTAGATTTACTGCAGCTGAGTTAATTTGAAGAGTGGGCAGCATATTTTCCATTCTATAACATATAGTTTAGAGGGGTAACAGGCAGAGTTGGTGCCCTGAGCAAGCCCAATCGGAGATTGGAGGCAGGGGGGATGATACCAAAGGTGGGGGAAGGGAGAGGTGCCCTGGCAGCAAGAGCAGCCCCATGGCATATCCATTCTGGGAACTCCAACAAAACAGCCACCAGATGAGCCGTCGGTGCTGCTGCCACATGCTCGGCCTGCCCCAGTTGTTTCTCTTAAAGCAGTAGCAGCAGCCAGGGAAAGCATGGGGCTGCTTTTGCTGCTGGGGCATGGAGATGCAGGAATGGGGTCATTTGCAATATTTCTCCTAATCTGGCGGCCTGGACAGGTGCCTCTCTCCCCTAGTTTATTATGATGTACCCCATTAAAATACCATATTACTTGAGCGTTAAGAATGACAACAGTGGTCAGAAAGTGGGATAGTAAGTTTGCAAACACTGCTTACCTCTACCCCCCTGTTTGCACTGTGATGGAGGATAGGATCCTCAGCCAGTAGATGGAAATAGTGATGAACATCACTGGTCCATGGGTTTGTAATGTTTTCCCATCTGCTGGGTCAGAGGTATCTTAGGTAGGTGCTAAGACGGGGCGGACAAAGTCCAGCCCACGGCCCAGATTGGGGCTGCAGCAGACTCCATTTCCCAGCAGCCCCTGCCTGCACCACTCTGGCTGGTCTCCATGAGCCATCCTGGCTCCGCTCTCCCAGGGTGTCTATGGAGATGAGCCCAAATAGTGCTGGCAGCACATGTGGCTGGCTGGGGAGCTACTCTGGGGCTGGGATCTTGTGGTAGTGATGGTGTGGGGCTGGATCTAGGGCAGAGCTGTGATCTGCTACTCACGCACCCCTGTGGTGAGCACGGGTTCTGCAGGCAGGGATGTTTAGGTAGCAGATTGTGGCTCTTCCCCGACTCCAGCCCTCACTGTCACATCCGCAAGATCCTGGCTCTGGATGCAGCTCCCTGCCCATCTACGTGCCCTGCCAGTGCTGCTTGGGCTGGTCTCCATGGAGACCCTGGGAGCATGGGGCTGTCATGGTCTTGTGCTGTCATAACCCTGCTGACCTGGGGTCTTCATAGAGACTGGTTGGAGCAGTATGGGCAGGGACTGCTGGGAAATGGAGTCCAGCCACCGACTGGATTCACCATTCTGCCCACCCCTGTGCTAGGACCTGCCCACAGCTAGTGCTGGCCTTGGCACCATCATAAGGGGAGTGCCCACAGCTGAATGCCACTGAAGCCCCACCTCCACGGGCCAGGTTCAAGGGTTCCACAGGCCATCGTTTGCTGACCCTTGCTTTACATCATAGTTCTTAAGTATCTTCTAGTTTAGGTGCAACTATGTACTTTATCATACAGTACACCCTGGGATATCTGGATGGCAATTTTTTTTACTTATTTCTAACTTGGTATTTGTTTTACTATATTTAAAATACTGTACTCTAAATTTAAACTAGCTTTTTACATTCTGTATCTTGAGGTAGCCTATATCATTCCTCACAAGATGCTGTGATTACACTTACCTGAAGAATTCAGGGTTTTGAACAACTTTTTTTTTTTCATGGGAGTTTAGTTAAAAACCACTGGAATTGGTTTTTATCTATCTCAGGGTATCAATACACATTGCATGTCTTCCAGGAGAAAGTCTTTTGTCCCAGGATCATGCAGACACATAAATTCATTGTGAAGTACCTATGAAGTATGCAGTTTTAAAATGTGCAAACACTTTTCCCTAGAACAGTACTGTGTACAGTCTGTAAGCTAACTATGTGTGATTCAAGTTAATTGCAAGTCATTTCAGGGGTAGGCCTGTCACTGTCACTGGCCACCTACCGGCAGAGGAACAGCCCTTCAACTTGGGAGAGCTATGCGTACAATGACTGTGCTGCCATGTTTTGATTTGGGTTAAAGCCCTGGACAACAGGAACTGCCTCAAATGAGGCATCTGTTTCCTCCTTCATTTAGTTTCTCAAAAAGCATCTCTCCTGCAGTGTCGTTTTCCTTTCATCCTCAGCATTTCTGAGGTAAGAGGTATTCAGAAGGTTTGTGAAATGCAAGAGATGGCTCTGCTTTGTTTACTGTGCCCTTTCATTGAATACAAAATTAAAGGCTCTCAGAGTGCTGTTAATTCACCTAAATGGCATGCACAGGAGTAGAAGTGCTATTATATTCGATCCTATGTTCACAGGTACTCATTTACCCAGACAATTACAAGGCACAGTATCTGAAATGCCAAGAACACCCTATAATATACCCTAGGTAAGCAGAGCACAGGATGGCACTTCCAGTGCGACCACAATGGGAAGGAAATAGTTTGTTTATATGCTCAGAATTTGCTATAAAATGGGTTTTACCCTACACTGTAGCAGGAGGAACTTCCCTCCCACCCCCACAGGCCATACCAATCTGACCTAGGGGAAAAATTTCTTCTGACCCTAAATTTGATAATTGGTCTTGCTTTTCTTTTCAGAGTCACACCTCTAGCAAGGAACCTTTGAGTTTTCTATGCGTTTGCAGGAGCATTAGAGCACCTCAGTCAAACTCAACAAACCCCAAACCAAAAACAATCCCTATAGCTGAAGCTTGGGTTAACATCTTAGTGTTTCAGAAGAGGGCAACCTTCCCCTACAGAAGCCAGCAGAATTTGAGTGGGGAGAAAAAATCCTTTCTAGTCCATATGGACAAACAGGAGAAGTGCTGGAGCATGGGATTAGCAGACCCTTTCAATGCTAGAAGCGTTATCTCGGTACCTCTACAGGAGAAGGGAGCTTAGCTAAAGGTTCCTCAGAAAAGTTACAAATGTAAAATGTTCTTATTTTAAGGCAAGTCCTAAGAGGAGACGTTGAAGGAGCTAGGCTTGTTTTACTTGTGAAAAAGGCATTTAAGACATAAATCCATATATGAATACATCAGTGGATTGACCACTGTATCCCCTTTCTTTACCTGTGGAAGGTGAAGGTGGTATGTCCTGTGTATTGTCAGGGTTAACTGTAGTTTTGCTGATAGGTTAGATGAGGGATTTGTATAGGATGGTTTGGATAAGGAAGATCCTGCTTAAAGCACGGGTTTGGACTAGGTGGCTTCTCAAGGTCTCTTCCAGCCCTATTTCCCTATGATTACCTGAATTTGGCTTGAATGGAATTTAGATGACTTCACTGCGCTTGCTAGTGCAACTAATAAGCAGAAATGAAATGAGAAGTTAGCTCATTGTTAGACTCTTTAATGCTTACATAAGTATACACATACAACTGGTAGCTAAAGGAGCTGACTGCAGGCCTTGCCTGAGAGAAGTTAATGGGAGGGTTTTTTAGCACATTGTAGTATATGTGCAATGTGACTGAATAACAGTTACAGGGAAGAAATGTTCTTTCAATTTTTTTTTTTTCACTCTTGTGTTTGTATAGCCATGTTTTCCTGTATTTAAAATATTATTGCTCCTTGGTGAGTCTAGAAGCTGTAAGATAACATTTTTTTTTTCACTTTGCTAGGAGCTGTCTGCCAGACTGTTATCTATTCACAGTGACCAAGACCGAATTGTGGTGACATTTAAAACTTTTGAAGAGATATGGAAGTTTATAACCTATTATACCCTTGGTTGGTAATAATATATATATATTTAAAATATTATTGTTGTTGTTGTTATATTATTATTTTAAATCCCAGTGTTGTTCAATATGTTTGTAGGGGAAGATGTGTACATGAAACTAATTAACTGAAAATAATTATTGAAAGGGTTTGATGGATAAAAACCCTGTTGCTCCACTCTTCCCCAGGACAAATGAGAACGATTTCCCAGCTGTTCAAATGCTCCCAGGACTAGAAGGAGTGGAAAACCAGCTGTTCCCCATGCCTTCCCCAGCCTGGGGTGACCCGTCTTGGGAATATTTCTACCCCACAATGGTAGAAATTAATGCCTTTCCACAGCCAGAGTGAACAACATATATCGTGACACTGAACAGTTAGGAGATAATGTTTGCCTGAAACTTTCCAACACGTTCTGCTTCAACAGTTTGTTTTCATGATCTTCAAAGTGTCTCTCGTATTTTATATAAACGCTTCTGGTTAGTATCAGAAATGGCTGATTGAAAAATCTTAATTTACTACTATTGTTACTGGTAGTCTATGCTAATTCACATCTGATATTGGACCTGTGTCAGAGACTCCAGCTAATATCACCAAGAACTTCGCATGTGTATCTGCAAGTGGAATTTTGCCAACACTGCAATCTAGCAATAGCTGTATGTTGTATTTTAACCACCAATTTAATTACCTCACTATTTACCACTGCTTACAGCCTTTTGGAGGGGTTGTTGTGTTAACTTCATTAAAGTAAATATCTTGAATTGGATTCTTGCCAGGTTATGTAAATCACTGCATGGAGAACTTGTTGCTAGATCAGTCTTTCTGGCTCTCTTCACAAGAGAAGAATAACGGTAAACAAGAAGAAGCCAGAATTGAAGTCTCTATAAATGAAGAGTCTTTAAATTTGATGTACAGAGGTCTTCTAATGCAGGAAGGTAAGGAATAATGTATATGCAATGACTATATGTATGGGCCCCCTTACCTCTTAAAGATAGTATTTGGAATGCATTAAAGGTCTAATTCAGTCCTCTCAATTCAGTAGAAACCTCACTAGGATTGGAAGGGAGGTTCAAACAAATGCCATAGTATTGACTACAACATTAGGAGAATCTTAAATCCTTTTTAGTATTAAGTACAATGTAGGAGACAGCTGCAGAATATTTTTAACATATGTTTCTTTTGCAATCTCAGTAAAAAATGCATCTGGGAGTGGATACTTAAAAAATGCTTGTTTCCTAAAATGCACAATGATCCAGATTCTACCATTCTTAGGGCATGGACAGATGAGTAAATTATATTGAGTTAAATGGGAGGAGTTTACCATGTGCTGTTTGATCTGCAGTTAAGAGTTTTGTATGTCTATCCTATGGGAAATGGAAGCTAAGTCAGGGAAATTTATCCCTGAATGTAATACCTGCTAAGTTATCAGGGGAATTTTTTTCCTTACATCTTTAGCTCAGTAACATTTCTTCATCTGTCACATAGTCACATCTAAGAATTCTACAGATAATAATTTTTGTCTCGGCTTTATGGTTTGAACACATTGCAAGTTTTACACATTGAACATGTTTTACAATTGTATTCTAGTTCACCCATAACATTGCTTTAGGTTAGAAGCATTTCTAGTAACAGTTCCCAAATTAAGGATTCTGATGACAAATGGGGTCAGAAACCCCATATGAACACAGTTGGAAACGCTAGGTTCATAGCAGAAGTCGGTTGTAAGCTTGGAAAGATTGAAAACACTGAAATAGAGGTTAAAAACAAATTGGGGCAAACTTTCATGACAAAATAGTCTAATGAATTCTGTTCAGTTAAAATAGTAAGTTGGCCTACTTTCAAGCACGCGCAACATTAAAACGACTGAAGTACTACAAAATTTGAAACCTGACGTGAATTGCTTTTATTTTAAGGGACATTCTTTGTCTTGTGTTCTGACAACCTCATAAAAGAGGTGACAGCTGCAGATACTGTAGTGAAAGTTTACCAGAATGAGTTTGTGACTGAAGACACATCTGGTGGATCACTGAGTGATGACCTGACTTTAGACAATAAAGTCACTACAGAACCTTTGATTCCTTTTCATCAGTAGGTACCCGACTTGAGTCTTCTATTTCATAAGTACAAGTATATTTATTTACATATAGACATTTTAAAATGAAGGCATTTGGGGCTGGCTTTGTGGTTAGCACCCTCTATTCAGGAAGTCCATTGATCTCATTCTTTTCTTAGACTCCTTACTTCCTGAGTGCTGTAAGGAAAATGCCTATGGTCATATGTAATAATAAATCAAGTGCCTTTTTCTTGACTTACGATGGCTGTCCATTTTTAATGCAGTAGAAAGGATGTTGGTTTTGAGAATTTTTAGGTTGGTGGATGTGTTTTCACTTTTCACATGTGAACAACTGTAACTCAGAAATGTCTGAGTGGGGACTGCTAGCCTATTATGTCCTTCCACCATTTGACAACTTCTTGTTGCAGCCTCCTTGGGGCTCAGGCACATGCTGTTAATCTGTCAGTGGGCCTTCCCCTCTTCATTATTACAGGGATTAGCAGAACGTCGTTTTCTGGCCCATAGAGGTCTGAGGCTGAAGTAGGCCCCATAAGTAAGTGCTTGTTAGTGGGTACTAGGAAACCCCAGGCCACTGACTCTTAGAATAATATCAGAAACACCATTTTTACTGCTGCTAAGACAGCAAGTAAACAAAAGCAAATACAAAATGGCTTCTGCTGCCCTCCCTGAAGAAACACATTGGCTAAACCAGTCTATGAGCCAGAATAATTCTTTAATTTCAGATACCATATTTTCTCATGTTCCATATGCCCCCAAACAAGACATGCATCTTGTTCTTGGAAGGTACAGTATATAAAACAAGAGATTCCTAGAGCTAGGGCTGACTGTGACATAAGATTAAGTCCTCCTGGAAACTTAAGTGTGTTTAGGAAGGATAGCATCCCAGGGGGCACCCTGGATGAGGCAGCCGGAGCTACTTCTAGGTATGGCAGGACATGCATGAGCTACAGTGTTCAGCCAGTAGAGACTGTGGGTGTGAGGGAATTAACACAGGACTCTGCCTATTCTGCATGCCAGGGTTACAGAAGTGGCAGTTGTCTTGGCAGCATTAGAGCACAGTGTCTGCATACTTCTAATTTTGGAAGGCTGATTTTTGGGGGGAAGGGGGGTGGAAGGGTGTGCATGGTAAATACAGTATTTGATTTTATTCATGTAACTTGCTGCATAGTACTGGGGGAAAAGTGCAAGACATTGAAACTTAGCTCTCTAGATAGTTGAGCCTACTTTTGCTTTTTAACAAAATGTGCTTATTGTTTGTACTGTGGTGGAACCTACAACCCAGTCCCTTTAGTCAGCACTTGCTGTGCAAGGCACTGTACAGATAGATAACAGAATAAAAAGATGTTCCCTGCCCCAAAGAGCTTCAGTTTGAAATGAATGTAAGATTTTATTTTTTTTTACTGGCACTTTGCAAACCTGAAAATAGAGAAATGTGTTAAATTTCACGTTGAATATCTTAGCATAGCTATTTCATGTGGCTAAATGCAGTTAAAGCAGCTGTGTTAACTTTGCAGTAGCTTAAATGCTGCTACCATCAGCACCTGGGGAAGTAGTTGGTGAGAAATTTTACATAAAAAGAAAATTTTCAGAGAGAAAATATTTGTGGAAATTTGTGAGATTTCCCCCCCTTTTTTTCCTTCTAGTTTTTACCTCTAACGAATATTTGATCATAATATGATTTGTATAATCAAGAGGATGGGGTATGATTTCATGACATTTCAATAATTTCCATATATGATCCTTAGTTGCCAGAATGAAAGAAGTTTGATTCTGAAAACCACAGGAAAAAACACTAAAATGAATAATAGACTGAAAGAAGTAGGCATAAAATATCATTGGAACTGTCAAAACATTTTAGTGAGATTTTTTTTTTTAACTTAATTCAACACTTTTTTCCCTTTCTCTTCTAGGTGGTTTCTTAAAGTCTGTTCTGATTCTATTGATTTTGCTTGCAAAACAAAATCTCAACCCAGTGAGCAAATTGGTAAGAAATTCTTTCTAATCTCTGTATCTATTGTTTTTATCTATCATAGAACTAAACTTTAAATGATTTAGAAATGCTAATAATATACCCTTAGAGTAGCAGAATTGTTTTCAAATCGTTGTACTGCACTGCCAGTGATGCATAAAAGTCTGTTTTTATATCTCACACAGTACATCTCTAGAGCATCTTTCATCCAAAAATGCTTAACAGACTATGTATATGTCTAATTCTTGTTTTAGTAATGATGATGTGCAGCACATTTTGACTTAGAAGGCTTGCATTTCTTATAAATACTACTCATTCACACATGAGGATGATAGATCAAGTAGCTTTATAATGCAATCTAGTCAAAAGGAATGAGAATAAGTTTATAGACTCTTCCCAAAAGTATGTATTTAAAGTTTGTCAATTAGAAAGGTAAATCAGAAAAATCCAAGGATTTTAGTATGCATGTTGTCATGCATACAGATGCCCTGCCCCATGGCTAAAACTGCCACAAATACAAAGATTAATTATCACTCACTGACATTTCCTTTTGTATACTAATCCAGAGTGAAACAGTGCTGTGCATGGGTGCTATACAAAGTATTTACCTTAGGCCAAATCCTGCAAACGATACTAGGGCAAAGTACTGGTGTCAACAATAAAACCCTTAAAGCTCTGATATTGTTTGAAAATTGAGAGACGTAGTTGGGACAAATTAGGAGGAGGGAAATTTCATCAAATTAAAAAAAACTTTTTTCAAATGTCAAAATTCAGAAAATATTTCACCCAACTCTAGGGATACTTGAAAAAATAGCAGTTATTTCATTTTTAGTCTTGAAATTCTGAAAAGTGAATGGAATTGCCCAAGTATTGTAAGGATTGATGACTGACTGACTGACTGTGGGATTGGCTTTCTCTCTGTTCTATACTGAAGTGCTCTAAATAGGAACAACTTGCTTTTAAAGTACCTAAAGGTAATAAATCTTCCCTCAAAAAAGTCATTCAACAATCTCAGGATTATCACAGGCCATTATTGTTTCCTTTTATGCTGAGTTGCATTCTGCCTATCTCTTCAAATTAATGCATCTCCAAATCCTTATTGTGCAGCAACAGGATCTTCTCTAGCAGTGATTAGCTACGAAAGTGCTGCTCCTGAAGAGATTAGCTTCCAGAAGGGGGACAAAATTGAAATCATTGGCTACTTCATTGAATGCATGCCATGGTTTGTTGGAAGGCATGTATTTACTGGTCAAATCGGTTTTGTAAAGACAACTCATGTTACACCTGACATCTGTAGAACTGAGTAAGTTCTTTGTATATAATAATTTATCTGTGGCTCTTTTTTGTTTATTTTTTTAATAGCTTATAGTTTTCAAATGCATATTATATTTAAAACTCTTTAGATCTCTTTTCTGGAGATAATTACCATAGTGTGATGTGTTTCCATGTCAATAAATGGAAGGGAAACTACAGCATAAGACGTGATGCTCTCCATTATTAATTTCAGATCCAGATCGGTGTATTGAGAGAGAGTTTATGTAGTTTCAGGATTGATCATCACAATATATTTGATCAGTCTTACTTTCTTGGATCAGAAATTCCAGCCAGTCTTTCTATTATAGTTGCCTCCATATTTGGTGACCTCCCGTAATCAGGTTTAAATAGATGTAGGCACTTTTGCTTTGAGTATGGGCAGTCTGTGTACACTACAAACTTCAGCTTGCATTGCAGTGTAGATTTTAGTTGCATTGCAAATCTTAGTTGAGGTCACTAATTAATGACTGTAAAGAAAGCTAGAAGGCTCTTTAAAAAAAAAAAAAAAAAAGCCTTGTTGGAAATTTAACCCTCAAAGTTTAATGCAAAGGCAATAGCATAACATACTTAGTCTTACCACAGTGAATGAATTAATATTTTAATAAATGATATACTACAGTACAGGAATACCAATAAAGCTTTCTCTGATTTGCTTCAAGAGTGATCACCAGCTTCCAGAGTTGGCATTTATCAATGCATATTGGCGTGCAGAGTAACCATTATCAATTTATCCACTGAGCTGGCAGCACTCATAAGCTGTTTTATCCTCTAGTGGGCAAACTGTTCAAGTGGCAGGTGGTGCATACTATGATAGTGTACGGAAGCCAAATATACTTTATTCCTGTGCATTCATTGAATAAATATGGGGCAAACCACTTTATTCAAAATTGCTGCTTCATTTGTAGCTCCCAAAATTTGGATTTTCTGGAAGAGGAAGAGAGATTGTTTCTCACCAAAGAAAAAAATGCTGTGGAAGAGGATGTGATGCATTTAGTAAAGCAAACATTAAATACAGAAGTTTTCACTGTATATAGAATAGGTAAGGATGGATTTTATTCTCTGAAAAATCAATTCTTTCCTCAGGACCCATGACTAATTCCTGTTAATGCACAGATATTTTTATTCACTTTTTCTATAGTTGTCAGTGATATGTTTTCCCCTTTGTTGTTGCTGTTAGAAATTGCATGCAAAAGTCCTTTTA